GTCTCTGCTGTCTCCTTTTTTCTGTCTCCTTTTATATATATTTTTTTGTCTCCTTTTGCTGCCGTATTAATGTTGTCTCTTTTTTTGTTTTTTGTCTCCTTTACTTTATTTTTCTCTTATACAACATGAACAACCACCAAACAAAACAACTAACTAACTAAATAAATAAAATAAATAAATAAAAAACTAAATAAATAAATAAATAAATATAAATATCTCTCTCTCTCTGTCTCCTCTAGGTGGCGCACCTGGTGGCTTTCCTCGCCTCAGACCAGGCCGCCTACATTACAGGCAAAGTCATACCCATCGACGGCGGCATGCTCTTCGGCTCCAACTAAAACACGGGGGCCCCCAAGGGGCCACCCCCAGAGGGTACCCTCGAAGGGGCCCCCCACCAAAAGGGTACCCCCGAAGGGGCCCCCACGGAAGGGGGCCCCCCCCCAAGGGGGCCCCCCAAGGGGGGCCGCTGACCCCTTTAGTAGTGTATAGTGAGCGGGCGGGGGGCCCCCTGATATGAAAGGCAAGCAACGAGAGGCCCCCATATAGGGGGCCCCTGGTTGGGGGCCCCCACATGCCCATAGGGGCCCCCCATCTGGTGAGGGGGGCCCCCCTAGGGGGGCCCCCATACTAAGAGCCACATACATGACAACACAGTGGGGGGCCCCCCTCATACCATTTGAATAGTTTGTAAGCAATGGGTTGTGAGGGGGCCCCCTACCCCCTCCTGTTTAAAGGGGCCCCCATAACAAGCGGGGGCGGGGGCCCCCATGGTTTGGGGGGCCCCCCTGTACATACACCCCGAGTCGGGGTGTATTGGGGGGCCCCCCAGTACCCTATCAACCCCATAGGGGCCCCTAGAAAACTCAACTTCATTCAGTTGTGCGGCCGACGATGCATGCAACATTCCTTATAAGACGGGGGCCCCTAGGGGCCCCCTCGTTACATATACGGGGGGCCCCTAGGGGCCCCCTTCTCACATACAGGGGGGCCCCATAGGGGCCCCCTTGTTACATATAGGGGGGCCCCATAGGGGCCCCCTTGGTACATATAGGGGGGCCCCATAGGGGCCCCCTTCTCACATACAGGGGGGCCCCGTAGGGGCCCCCGTCTTACATATACAGTGGCCCCATAGGGGCCCCCTCGTTACATATAGGGGGGCCCCTAGGGTCCCCCTTCGTACATATAGGGGGGCCCCAAGGGGCCCCCCTGTAGATGAAGAGGGGCCCCCTAGGGGCCCCATATATAAATGGGGGCCCCTGGGGGCCTCATATATAAAGAGGGGCCCCAGGGGCCCCCTGTTAGTATACAAGGAAACTAAAGAAGAGATAGGGGGGCCCCCCAATCACGTCTCAGGGGTTATGGTAGTAGTGGGGGGGCCCCATGAGAAACTCTCCTTATCTGCTGTTGCTGCTGCTGCTGCTGCTGCTGCTGCTGCTGCTGGTTCTGCTGCTGCTGCTGCTGCTGCTGGTGTGGGGGCCCCTGAGACTGCTTCCTCTTGCTGCTGCTCACACTCAACTGCTGCAGCAGCAGGAGGGGCCCCTGCTGCAGCAGCAGCAGAAGTTTCAGGGGGAGGCTCCGACACAGCAGCCCCTGCATCCTGTGTCTGCTGCTGCTGCTGCTGCTGCACCTGCTGCTGCTGCTGCTGCTGCTGCTGCTGCGGTGGGGCATGGCTCAGCTGCTTCTTCAGGGCATCTATCTTTTGCTGCAGCTCTTCGTTCTCTTCCTTTAGGGTAGAGTTAGATAGACGCACAGCCTCAACCTGGTAAGACAAATCTGCAGCAGCAGCAGCAACAGCAGCAGCAGCAGCAGCAGCAGCAGCAGCAGCAGCAGCAGCAGCAGCAGCAGCTATTAAAAAAATTGCTTGAAGGCGGGGCAGCATACAACAGAGAGAACTGCAGACACACCAACAGCTGCAGCAGCAGCAGCAGCAGCAGCAGCAGCAACAGCAGCAGCAGCAGTACTAGTAGTAGCCGCACAAGCAGCAGCAGCAGCAGCAGCAGCAGCAGCAGCAGCAGCAGCAGCAAGTATCTGACCTGATAGTTCCTCTTGTGTTGCTAGTATCTTATCCACCATCTCTTCAGTTGTCATTCTGCAGCAAAAAAAAAAAAATAAAAAAAAAAAAAATAAACAAAAACACAAATTGTAAACAAACAACAAACCCTTCACAGCCACAAACCCTTATGCTGGGGGCCCCTGAGGGGGCCCCCCTAGGGGCCCCCATAGGGGCCCCCTATAGGGTTCTATAAGGGGCCCTCGGGGGCCCCCTGCAGGCTACCTAGGGGCCCCTTGGGGGGCCCCTGGGCACTGTATAGGGGCCCCATAGGAGCCCCCTGGGGGCCCCCTACGGAGTCCCCTGGGGGCCCCCTAGAGGGGCCCCCTAGAGGGGCCCCCTAGAGGGGCCCCTAGAGGGGCCCCTAGGGGGGCCCCCTGGGGGCCCCTGGTTAGAACGAGCTGAGGAGAGAAGGCTGCTGCATATTGGGGGGCCCACTTACTCTTCAATTTGGTGCTGGGGGGCCCCTGGGGGCCCCTGTTTGTGTAGGGCCTCCTGTATAGCCATTGTGTCTGCTGCTGCTGTGGTGATAGAAAGCGATACAAACCCTAAACCCTAAACCCTAAACCCTGAATATGGAGGCCGCAGAAGAGAGTAACAAATGAAAGAGGCGGGAGATGAGGGGGTTGTTGCTGTTGTATTTGCTGGGTTACTGACGAACAAAGCAGCAGCAGCAGCAGCAGCAGCAGCAGCAGCAGCAGGAGCTTTGAGTTGCAGCAACGGCGTCGTCTTCTGGCGGTGTGTTTGGCTAACAAACACAAAATAAATAAAATATAATATTTAATTAGTATTTATAAATGTGTGTCTAGAAAAAACAAAGAAAGGAGGAAACACAGCAGCAGCGCGAGCCGGCCGCAGCAGCAGCAGCAGCAGCAGCAGCAGCAGCAGCAGCAGCGGGAAAAGCAGCAGCAGCAGCAACTCCTAGTGCTGAAATATCCTAGAATAAAATATATTTATATAAATAATAATAAATTAAATAAATATATTATATAAATAGTTTTATTTTCTTTGCTTTTGTATCTTTAGGGGCCCCCTATTATGTTTATATAGAGGGGGGCCTCGGCCGCGCCGCTAGAACAACAACCCCACCCCCTGTGCTGCTGCTGCTGCTGCTGCGGTTGCTGCTGCTGCTGCTGCTGCTTTTGCTGCTG